TTTTACTAACATGTAATTTATGTAAGAGAACGAAAAGTTAAATGGTAAAAAGTTTACTATGACTTTGCATATCTATAGTTTGACCATTGGATTTGAACTAAAACTGTGGTTATATGGAGGACAATCCACCAAAATACCATGGCTAACACAATTTTACTATAATTTAATTCATGTAAGGGAACAAAAAGGTTTAGGGTAGCTATAATTTTTTGCAGATATTAGCATAGTTTTACCATTGTATTTGTAGTAAAACTGTGGTTATATGGAGGGTAATCCACCAAAATACCATGGTAACTACAATTTTACTATAATCTTATTTATATAAGGGAACAAACTGTTAAATCTTAACGTTGTTTCTGTAAATGTAAGCATGATTTTACCATTTGTTTGCTTTATTTGTAGTAAAATTGTGATTATTTTATAGACATTACACCAAAAATACTGTGGTTACAACACTTTTACTAGCATTTTTGTTTATGTGAGGGAAAAAACTGTTAAATGGTAACAAATTAATTATGATTTTGCATATCTGAGCATCGTTTTACCATTGCATTTGTAGTAAATCTGTGGTTATATGGAAGGAAATACACCAAAATACCATGGTACTGTAACTACAATTTTACTATAATCTTATTTATATAAGGGAACAAACTGTTAAATCTTAACGTTGTTTCTGTAAATGTAAGCATGGTTTTACCATTTTTTTGCTTTATTTGTTGTAAAATTGTGGTTATTTGATAGGCAATACACCAAAAAATACTGTGGTTACTACACTTTTACTATAATTTAATTTATGTAAGGAAAACAAACTGTTAAATCCTTACATTGTTTTGCAGATTTAAGCATGGTGTTACCATTTGTTTGTTTTATTTGTACTAAAACTGTGGTTATGGAGGACAATCCACCAAAATACCATGGCTAACACAATTTTACTACAATTTAATTTATGCAAGGGAACAAAAAGCTGTAGGGTAACTATAATTTTTGCTTATATTAGCAAAGTTTTACCATTGTGTTTGTAGTAAAACTGTGGTTATATGGAGGGCAATCCACCAAAATACCATGGTTACTGCACTTTGACTATACTTTAGTCAAACTGTTAAATGGTAACAAAGTGATTTTGTAAATGTAAGCATGGTTTTTATATTTGTTTGTTTTATTTGTAGTGTGGTTATATGGAAGATGATACACCAAAACACCATGATGACTACAATTTTACTATAATTTAACTTATGTACTGGAACAAAACATTATACGGTAACAAACAATTTTTTTGCTGCCAAAAATTGCATAGTTTTACCATTGTATTTGTGGTAAAAAATGGTTTTATGGAGGACAATCCACCAAAACACCATGGTTTCTACAATTTTACTATATTTTAATTTATGGTAACCAATTGGTAAATCATAACATTGCTTTTGCAGATTTATGCATGGTTTTACCATCTGACTTATTTGTAGTAAAATTGTGGTTATAGATGTTACACCAAAACACTGTGGTTACTACAATTTTACTATAATTTAATTTATGTACCAATGAACCTAAACGAGCACATGTCACTCCGCTGCTAGTCCGTTTGCACTGGCTGCCAGTTGCTGCTCGCATCAAATTCAAAACTCTGATGTTTGCCTACAAAGTGACTTCTGGCCTAGCACCTTCTTATCTGCACTCACTTCTGCAGATCTATGTGCCCTCCAGAAACTTGCGTTCTGTGAATGAACGTCGCCTCGTGGTTCCATCCCAAAGAGGGAAAAAATCACTTTCGCGAACGCTCACGCTCAATCTGCCCAGTTGGTGGAATGAACTCCCTAACTGCATCAGAACAGCAGAGTCACTCGCTATTTTCAAGAAACGACTAAAAACTCAACTATTTAGTCTCCACTTCACTTCCTAAGCTGCAATTGCCTCTTTGAATATCACACTAATTGTACAAAAAAAAACCAAAAAAAAAAAAAAAAAAAAAAAAAAAAAAAACCTACTAACACTTCCCTTCTTAGACTTTACAGACCTGAAACTTGCCTTTAGTACTTATTCATTGTTGCTCTTGGTTGTGTAAATTGCTTCCTTGTCCTCATTTGTAAGTCGCTTTGGATAAAAGCGTCTGCTAAATGACTAAATGTAAATGTAAATGTAAATGTAAATGTATGTAAGGCAACAAACTGTTAAATGGTAATAAATTAACTATGGTTTTTGCAAACATTAGCATAGTTTGATCCTTTATGTGTAGTTAAAAGATGGTTAAATGGAAGACAATACACTAAAATACCCTTGTTAGGGAACAAAATATTAAATTATAGAATTGTTTTGCGGATTTAAGCATGCTTTTACCATTTGTTTGTTTTGTTTGTAGTAAAACGGTGGTTATATGGAAGACAATATGCCAAAATACCATGGTTTATATATTTTGACATTTAATTTATGTACGAGAGTAAAAAGTTAAATCATTAATGTTTTTGCGGATTTAACCACCGGTTTACCATTTGTTTGTATTATTTGTAGGAAAGTGGTTATATGGAAAACAACACACCAACATTTTATAATTTGACTATAATTTAATTGATGTTAGGGAACAAACAGTTAATGACAGTTTCATTTTTGTTGGCAAAGAAATCACGTATAGGTCTCTCTCTTTCTCTCTCCATCTCTCTCTCACCCTTCATCCCCGCTGATTGGTTTCCCGCAAAGATAATTACAGGCCAAATCTGATCCGCTGAATGACATGGACCGGAATGAGCTCTCGCCCGGTTCGGATGTGGCTGCTATGACGAAGAAAGCGGCCCACAAGAGCACGCCCGGGCTCCGCTGCGCCGGCAACAGCAGCACCGCCAAGAGTTGCCTGGACTCCAGCTCGGATGCGAACCCGAAACCCAATCACGTCGTCATGGAGGAGACTGACGACCTGGAGGAGGAATCCAAGTTTCAGCATCCGCGTCTGAGGAGGGCAGGAGGCGGGATTCAGATTAAGAGCTGCGCATCAGGAGGAGGAGGAGGCGCAAATAGGAGCAGCACATCCACGGATGCGCGCCCGGGAGATGCTGCTGCCGTTAAAGGCGGCGGAGGAGGAAGCAAAGCGCCTACCGTAGTGGCCACCGTGACGGTAGAGGCTTATAATGCGTCCGAAGTCGACGGTAATCCGTCAGCAGCGCTTTCCAGCATGAAATGCAACAAGAACGGGGAGTGCAGGCGGGACTCCGGCACCGGGAGCCTCCGGTCCATTATGTCCAAACCGGACTCGGGCAAGCGGGCTACGTGCAATTCAACGACCAGCATGGATGGCACCATCACGCCGGGGCAGGACGCGTCGAACCCCGGTGCGCTCCCGGAGAAGAAGGACTCCAAAGTGTCCTTTTCCAACGCGCCCAGCAGGAAAGCCTCGTCCTCCATCCACGGTGGACAGCAGCAGCAGCCCCGGAACTCGGTGACCTTCCTCAAATCTGAGGATGGAGCCCCGGAGGACACCGAGACCCGGGGCAGCCAGGCGAGCTTCATGCAGCGGCAGTTCAGCAGCATGTTGCAGCCCGGGGTCAATAAATTCTCGCTGCGCATGTACGGGAGCCAGAAGGCGGTGGAGAAGGAGCAGGAGCGCGTCAAGTCGGCCGGCAACTGGATCATTCACCCCTACAGCGACTTCAGGTAGGAAACTTTCTTTGGACATGTCTGGAAAGCCTTTGATTTTGGTGCAATGATTCCTTTGGATTTGCTAAATTTTTTTATTGCAAACAATTTATATGGGCTGAATAGCAACAAACATGTTAAATTTAGTAATGTTCAACTTGGTTTGTTTGAATAAATTCAGCCCATTTAAATGGTTTACTACCACTTACCTTAAAAATGTGGTAAATCCAAAGATTTTCCAGTGATATGGTGTTATTTGCCCTCCTGTGAGTTTTTGTTTTTCACCAAAAATATTTTCCAGGTGCATTTTAACTGTGAGGTTTTAGTTTTCTACACGTTTTCGTTGGATTTACTATTATTATTTGCATGCAAACAATTTAAATGGGCTGAATTTAAACAAACAAATTAAATCAAACATTACTAAATCTTAGTTGTTTGCTTAAATTCAGCCATTTACTTTACAAAATTTGGTAAACCCTTTTTTTATAACTGATTATTTCTAATAACCATTTTTTTAGTCTTTAGATGACAGCACATAATATTTTACTAACTGATTTGTAAAATGCTAGTATTCAGTGCCATTTAAAGCCTTGACTAAGTTAATTGGGTTAATTATTGCAAGTTAGGTTAATTAGGCAAGTCAATGGACAACAGTGGCTCATTCTGTAGACAATCAGGTCATAATATCTTAAGGGGGCTATTAATATTGACCTTAGCTCTTTCAACATTTAATGTTTTTTTATTCCAGCCAAACGAAAAGAAATTAGACATTCTCCAGAGGAATAATATAATATAAGGCTATTGTAAAAAAAATCCTTGCACTTGTGATATTTTGTAGTGATAATAATATTAATAATAATAATAATAGTTTAACAATCATTTTGTCTACAACTGAATATTCAATATTCTATTTATTTAGCTTTATTTCTACTCAATATATACTGTTTTAGGCAACACAGTGGCTCAGTGGTTAGCACTGTCGACTCACAACAAGAAGGTTGCTGGTTTGAGTCCTGGCTTAGCCAGTTGGCATTTCAGTGTGGAGTTTGCATGTTCTCCCCGTGTTGGCGTGGGTTTCCTCTGTGTGCTTCGGTTTCCCCCACATTCCAAACACATGCTCTATAACTAAATTGTCTGTAGTGTATGTTTGTGAATGAAAGTGTATGTGTCTGGCTGCAGACTCGGTGCAGATGCAATCTGAGCTGCATCCAATGCTTTTTAATGCGCTCACCTAACCCCACCCCTATAACCCTACCCCTCACAGTGACGTCACTAGCTCCACTGAGTGCATAGTGTCTGACATTGCATCTCTGAGCGATGCAATCTTAGCTTGCATCCTAAAGGCTGCATCCAGATACTATTGGTGTGTATGTGTGTGTATGTTTCCCAGTGATGGGTTGCAGCTGGAAGGGCATCCGCTGTCTAAAGCATATGCTGGATAAGTTAGAGGTTCATTCCGCTGTGGCGACCCCTGATGAATAAAGGGACTAAGCAGAAGGAAAATGAATGAATGAATAATAATAATAATAATAATAATAATAATAATAATAATAATATTTTTGCCTTCAACTGAATATTTAAGATCCTTCCCTTTATTTAGCATTACTTAGTACTCAATACAGACTGTTTTAAAGCAGCTTCACTGTATACAAACTTCATCAAATACGAAACATAATCAAATTGGGCAGTAAAGCAAGCTTTAAAATGAAAATGGTGAGATTACTGAAGTCAGTGCAGTGTAGATTGAGCGCAATAATTGTGTCAGTGAGCATTAACAAAATCATCAGGTTTTATGTCGGCTCCAGCACGGCTGTCATTAATTAAAGTGACAGATGCATTCCCAAAAGCATGCGGACTGCGTTTTTATAAATAATACATGTGTTTGACTATAGTTTTACCCAAACCCAACTCATACAAACCTGTTAATTCAATTCAATTCAGCTTTATTTGTATAGCGCTTTTACAATGTAGATTGTGTCAAAGCAGCTTCACATAAATGGTCATAGTAACTGGAACAGTGTGGTTCAGTAACTGGAACAGTGTGGTTCAGGTTTTAGTGTTTAAGTTCAGTTCAGTTCAGTTTAGCTCAGTTCAGTGTGATTTAATCATTACTGAGAGTTCAAACACTGAAGAGCAAATTCATCGATGCGTAGCTCTACCAATCCTGAACCATGCGAGGCAGTGGCGACAGCGGAGAGGGAAAAAAAACTTCACCTGATGGGAGTGAAGAAAAAAAACCTTGAGAGAACCAGACTGAGTTGGGCACGACCATTTTAATTTCTCCGCTGGCCAAAAGTAGTTTTATAGCGATTTTAGGCAAGGCAAGGCAAGTTTATTTATATAATCAAGTAGATTTAACAAATTGAATTCATTTCAATTGGAGTTTATTTGTACAGGATAGCGATTTTAGGCAAGGCAAGGCAAGTTTATTTATATAGCACATTTCATACACAGTGGCAATTTAAAGTGCTTTACATAAATAAGAATAAAAGAAACAAGTAAAAAAATAAAATAAATAAAAACAAATAATAAAACTGATTAAAAAAAACATAAAAACAGGTAAAATGTGATATAAAAGAATGAAGAAGAAGAGAAAAACATAATAGTGCAATCTGTCGGACGCAGCACAGTCGGACGCAGCACACAATACATTATTTACAATAATTATTGTTTCAAAGTAGCTTTCCAAAAGATGCACATTATTACATTACAATCAATGGTGTGCCAGGCAGTGGCGCAGTAGGTAGTGCTGTTGCCTCACACCAAGAAGGTCGCTTGGTCGCTGGTTCGAACCTCGGCTCAGTTGGCGTTTCTGTGTGGAGTTTGCATGTTCTCCCTGCCTTCGGGTGGGTTTCCTCCGGGTGCTCCGGTTTCCCCCACAGTTCAAAGACATGCGGTACAGGTGAATTGGGTTGGGTAAATTGTCCGTAGTGTATGAGTGTGTATGTGAATGTTTCCCAGAGAAGGGTTGCAGCTGGAAGGGCATCCGCTGTGTAAAAATTTGCTGGATAAGTTGGCGGTTCATTGTGCTGTGGCGACCTCGGATTAATAAAGGGACTAACCGACAAGAAAATGAATGAATGAATGAATCAGTGATATAAAGTAACAAACTACGAATACTCAAATTACTGTAATTGAGAAGTTTTTCTCAGTAGTAGTTTTATAAATGTGTACTTTTACTTTCCCTTGAGTACATTTTGAGTGCAGTATTGGTACTTTTACTCCACTACTTTCCTTCAACCTGCAGTTATTACTTAGTTTTCTTGTCTCAGGGAATTAGAAATAATACAAACTAAAATAACCAACTAACCTTGTCTAATGATGTTACCTTTGATGTTGTGTGGACCTTACCGCTATGACATCTATCAGACGTTGGTTTGAGATGTTCACCCGACATTGGATTTTGGTCACTTTCCAACAAAACCTAAAATCAACCAAATATCAACGTCATTTCATGACGTGATTGGACATCAAAATAACATTGTCTTTAGATGCTGGCTAGACATTAAATTTTGGTCACCTGACGTCACAACCTAAATCTAACCTAATATTAACGTCTTATGACGTTGTGTGGCTGCTGGACAATAACTAAATGCACTACAGAATTTTACGTTTACACACCCACAAATTAGATGTAAATGCATCAGCTTTTCACAGTGTAATACTCACTGCTCTTGAGTACTTTTGAAAGGGCTACTTTTTACTCATAGCTTGAGTAATATTTACAACAGATACTTTTACTCTACCTACACTGCATTTTTAGGCGAGTAATGGTACTCTTACTTGAGTATGATTTTTCAGTACTCTTTCCACCACTGATTACAAATTACAATCAAATTAAATTAAAGTTACAATTCAATATAAGTCATTATATATAGACATCTTTAACTTACAATTTTATAGCATATAGGTAATGTCTACGAAAGCAAAAAGCATGGTTTGACCGATTTATGATCCTTTCAAAGAATTTAAAGAAGCTTAAAGTCAGTTTTTAACATTGTTCGTGACACTTTCTACATTAAAAGCAGTCAAAACCAAGCCAAATTTATTAGTCCTCCAGTAAAATTGGTTATTTGTATAATATTTTTAATTTTTTTTGTTCTGGAGAAGGTGTAGAACTGCTAAGGTGTTCTTGTGGGTTTCCTCCGGTTTCCAAAGGCATGTACTATAGGCGAACTTGGTAAACTAAATTGTACGTGGTGTGTGAATGAGTGTGTGTGGATGTTTCCCAGTGATGGGTTGCAGATGGATGGGCATCCGCTGTGTAAAACATATGCTGGAAAAGTTGGCTGGTCATTGTCGCCTCACAGCAAGAAGGTCACTGGAGTCCCGGCCGGAACAGTTGGCATTTCTATGTGGAATTTACCTGCTCTCTCCGTGTTGGTGTGGGTTTCCTTCGGGTGCTCTGGTTTCCCTCACAGTCTAAACACATGCGCTGAAGGTGAATTGAATAAGCTAAATTGGCCGCAGTGTGTGAATGTGAGAGTGTATGGGTGTTTCTGAGTACTGGGTTGCAGCTGGAAGGGCATCCACCGCATAAAGTATGTTGGAATAGTTGGTGGTTCATTCCACTGTGGTGACCCTTGATGAATAAAGGCACTAATTCAAAGAAAAAAGAATGAATGATTGTCTACAGAACAAACCACTGCTGTTCAATAAGTTTCCTATTTAATCTAGTTAAATGGCACTTTAGGCTGAATGCTAGCTATTGTGCAAAACAAAAACAAACAAAACTATAACAAATAAAATAACACATAAAAAAATAACAAAATATTATCATCGGAGGGATAATAATTCTGCTAATACAATATACTGTATATACACACACACACACACACACCACAAACATTCATGCTGAGTTAGATTTATTTAAACCTGACAGATAAAATGTGGTGAAAATAAATTTACTGTATAGCAAAGTGAGACTAAACATGACTGTTGCAACCCAGGCTCATTCTGGAAACATAGTCCCGCAAAGGTTTCTGGAGACTGCGAAATACAACCCAAGCTCATTCTGC